AGGTAAACTACTTTGTTTGACCTTCCAAAAGAGGACACGACTAGAAATCAGTGGTTAAGTTGTATTTACAACACGGTTATAAATCTATACTTATTTTACCCGCGGACAAGCCAGAGGGCTATTGGAGAAATGTTTTGTGGACAGATGAGGCCAAAATAGAACTTTTTGGTTTAAATGAGTAGCGTTATGTTTGGAGAAAAGAAAACACTGCATTCCAGCATGAGAAGCTTATCCCATCTATGAAACGTGGTGGTAGTATCATGGTTTGGGCCTGTTTTGCTGCATCTGGTGGTCCAGGTCAGCTTGCTATCATTGATTGAACAATTAATTCAGAATTAAACCTGCAAATTCTAAAGGAAAATGTCAGGACATCTGTCCATGAACTGGAGGTGCAAAAGTATGTGAATCTCTAGGATCAGCAGTTAATTTGAAGGTGAAATTAAGAGTCCATCTGTTCAGAGGCGTTTTCATTCAGTGGAATTACTATCAGGTGCAAGTGTCTGCCCTGTTTTATTTAAAGAACAGGGATCTATCAAAGTTTGATCATGTTTGTGGAAGTGAATCATGGCACGAACAAAGGAGATCTCGGAGGTCCTCAGAAAAAGAGTTGTTGTTGCTCATCAGGTTGGAAAAGCTTGCCATCATTGATGGAACAATTCCATGAACTGGATCTCAAGAGAAAGTGGGTCATGCAGCAAGACAACGACCCCAAGAAAATAAGTCGTTTTACCAAAGAATGGTTAAAGAAGAACAATGTTAATGTTTTGGAATGACAGAGTCAAAGTCTGGACCTTAATCCAGTTGAAATGTTGTGGAAGGAGCTAAAGCAAGCAGTTCATAGGAGGAAACCCACCAACATCACAGAGTTGAAGTGGTTCTGTACTGAGAAAGGGGCTAGAATTCCTACAAGCCGATCAGCAGTTACAAGAAACATTTACATACTTTTGCACCGCACATAATTTTTCTCAAATAAATTATAAAAGAAAATATTTTTGTCTCATTTGTTTGATTGGGTTCTCTTACTTTCAGGACTGATCCGAGGACTTTGTCTACCAAAATCTGATGATGTTTTGGGTCATATTTATGCAGAAATATAGAAAATTCTAAAGGGTTCACAAACTTTCAAGCAGCACTGTATGAAAGAATATTTTATATGCATATTTTAGAGACAAAGTGGTTACATGGTTTGTCATTATCATAATTTAAAATGCTCAATGGATTTTAATATTTGAATGCATAATTGTTGAACCAGCTATACAACTGTTGAAAATCATAAGTTGTTGCTTTGAATGACCTTTTCTGTGCAATGCTTGTTATGTAACAAATTAAATAACTCAATCTCTGTAGAGGAAGGAGAGGTGTTTGTTTGGGGTTTTGGAATCCTGGGAAAAGGCCCGAAACTTTCCGAGTCTGCTATCCCAGAAAGAGTGCCAGCCACGTTTTTTTGGGAGGTCAGAGTTCAACCCTACAGTGAAGGTCTCATCCATCCGCTGTGGACTCAATCACTTTGCAGCCATCACAGGTGATCTACAGTAAAAACGTTATTACTTTGCATGTACATTCACTCAAGATATGAAATGTTGTTGTATTGACTATGATTATGAGATTCTCCTGAAGTGATTTTAAATGTGCTCTCATGCAGGGTACTGTTAATGTTCTTTCTCCTGAAAACACAAATGCTTGCATAACCATGGTGGTATTAAATCCAGTCCGTTTCCTGGCTAACATCCATGTAAATAGAAGGTTATTTGCTACATGAATATTGTTTTCAGATCGAGGTGAGCTGTTTGTTTGGGCTAAGAATGTGAGAGGATGTCTTGGCATTGGAAAACATGATGACCAGTATTTTCCATGGAGGGTAAGAAACCAAAAACTTTGCATTCTTTCTTTTAACATGAAAAAGTGTAGATTGCAGAGCTTGGGCTGCCAATTGATTTTTTGACATATAATTACATAAAACGGTGTTTAATTATTCTAATGAATCACAGCTAATCACAAAGATCAAAATTTGCTTAGAAAAGCTCCCAATGAACAATTTCAACTCGTTGCATTAGGTGAAAACATTGAATAGACAAAAAAATATAGACTTTTAGTTAATTGGAGTAAATTAACATGTTAAATTAACATAACTATACGCAGTAGACATTAGTTGTTAATCTGTTTTCTTTATGCTAATGCTCGTCATGTTTTAGGTGACAGTGCCAGGCCACGTGACAGATGTTGCCTGTGGTGTTGACCACATGGTGGCGCTGGTCAGATCAATCATATGAGACTGTCACGGCAAATTCGTACTATTATTTCAGGCACTTCAGCGAACACCATTAGAATGCCACGTTTCATTATTTCTCCAGAACCTTTGGACTTGTTACAGGCCCTCACTAAGGAGTCTTCATGTCACACTGCATCAAGCCAAGGCTGTGCTTAAGGTAACAAGGAAATGTGACACCTCCTCTGCTGTTGACAGTGTTGACCTCAAAAATAGACAGTGTTGGGAGTAACGCATTACAAAAGTAATAATTGGATTACATAATGAATAATAGTTTAGCATTCAAATACATCGCAAATATGGACACATTTAATTGGATTAATGGCGAATGAGAGAGGTAGGCTGCGCGAGAACGCCGTTTGCTTTCAGTTTCGCATTGAATTAGCCTAATTCATTTTGGCTTGTTTAGCAACTTATATTTTTCATTCTTGTTTTCTTCTGAAACCGTTCAAAATAGCCTATAGGCTAGGTATTGTGTTTATTGTTTGTACATGATAATATTTCGCTTTATTTACCAGTGTTATTTATGAATGTAATAATGCGATTTGTGCTTATATTTTTTAACCTAAACTACAATGTAACATTAATGTAGACCTACATACCGGTATCTAAATATGATTTCATATTTTATGCTATATAGACCTACCACGTTACCCTCCACTGGATGTAGAATGAGCAGCATTAAACTACATTTTGGCATTTTACAATACTTATGTGGATATTTTGGATGAAAGTAACTCAAAAGTAACTCAAAAGTAGTGTAATGCATTACAATTCAGAGACAGTAATATTGTAATGTAACTAATTACTTTCAAAAGACAGTAACTAGTAATATATAATGTATTACATTTTGGAAGTAACTTGCCCAACACTGAAAATAGACATGAGTCTAACTGCTAAATAACTCAAGACCTCTTAATGAGTCTTATGTTGGCTACTTGGACATTTTGGAAGTTTGCTCTAAATGATACATTGTCATCACCTGAGGTGGATAACGTTCAATATCTGCTTTTCTTGTTAAAAATCACACTGGATTGTCAATAGGCAAAAAATTGGATCTGAAAACTGTACAGCTACATGAAAAGTATATTTAAATTAAAATACATCTGGCTTTACTGTGCTGTAGCAGAGGTTTTTGGCAAAGCACTACCCATCTTTTTAAAACTGTTACAATTTTTGAGTAATGAATTATCTTTCTATGCATTTGTGATTACTGAATAAGAAACAACAAACAACCTATATGTGACCCTGGACCACAAAACCAGTCTTAAGTTGCACGGGTATATTTATAGCAATAGCCAACAATACATTGTCAAAATTATCGATTTTTATTTTTATGCCAAAAATCATTAGGATATTAAGTAAAGATCATGTTCCATGAAGATATTTTGTAAATTTCCTACCGTAAATATATCAAAACTTAGTTTTTGATTAGTAATATGCATTGCTAAGAACTTCATTTGGACAGGTTTAAAGGTGATTTTATTAATATTTTGATTTTTTTGTACCCCAAGGTTCCAGATTTCCAAATATTGTCCTCTCCTTACAAACCATACATCAATGGAAAGCTTATTTAATCAGCTTTCAGATGATGTATAAATCTCATTAAAAAAAAAATGGACCCTTATGACAGGTCCAGGGTCATATAGAATATATGGATCACATATATTATAAAATTATTAAAACTTTGATTCATACCTTTGCTAAATAATTGTCTTGAAAGAACAATGACTGTGGTATTAATTTTTTGATTTTTTTTTACCCCAAGGGTCCAGATTTCCAAATATTGTCCTCTCCTTACAAACCATACATCAATGGAAAGCTTATTTAATCAGCTTTCAGATGATGTATAAATCTCATTAAAAAAAAAAAGGACCCTTATGACAGGTCATATAGAATATATGGATCACATATATTATAAAATTATAAAAACTTTGATTCATACCTTTGCTAAATAATTGTCTTGAAAGAACAATGACTGTGGCTTGCCAGTTTTATGTTAATTGAGCAATTACTAGATGATTAAATATTTTAGAGCATTTTATATATATAAAAAAAAAATATATAAAATATTCTAAAGGATGGTTGTTTTCCAGGCCTGAAAACATCATTTATATTATATATAAATTCATTGCTTTCAGGTGGCTGCAAAAATGTATAAATATAAAGGTGAAGCAACTTATAACGGATCATTTTAAAAGTATGTTTTTGGAGGCCTTAAATGAAGACATGCAAAAACAGACTTGTTCTAAAGCCACTTCAGGGACAGAAAATATAATATAATATTATATATATCATATAATATATTGAAACTCTTGTATCCTTCAGAATCAAGTATATGCTATATTTGTACCAAACTGTATTGATAGATCACATAAGATTATAGTACCAATTATAAAGCAGTATACATTCTGAGGGAAAAGGGAATAGCTCAAAGTCACCCTCTTTAATGTGCAAATATAAAGGGACAGTTTCTGACCTACACAAAGTACCGTATTGGCCCGAATATAAGACGACCCTGATTATAAGACGACCCCCCCCTTTTTCCAGATGTACCTTTTGGAAAAAGGCTTTTTAAAAACCAAATCTTGTTTTTTCTCAGTAAAACACATTTTGTCTTCAATTATTTTCATATTGCATATTTTTCCTATTTTAATTTTTGTTTTGAAAGTATGGTAAAAACTGGTCAAATGTACCAACAATCACATTTAAAAAATATACACTTTTTGATATACCATTAAAAAAAACAAAACAGGTAGCCCATCTGAATTAGGACATTTAGGCTATCCATCTAATAGTAGCCTACCAAAATCTTATTAACAGTAGAAGTTAAATCTTACTGTAGTCTTCAAATCTGGGTACTGTCTTATGTTTTAAAATCACAAAGGGAGTTTGGTTAACGTGACAGTCACGACTCATGCAGCTTTAAGGTTTTCTGCTTCTTTTGTTTTTACTTGCGCTCTTTACAACACGCATTACATTACGTATTTCATGGCACACTCGTTTTATGCGCATTTGGCGCCACCTATTGTTGTGGGTGTATTATTGACATGTCAAAGTCTAGACCCTGAATATAAGACGACCGCGTTTTTTCAGATGTATTTCCAAGAAAAAAATGTCGTCTTATATTCGGGACAATACGGTAGGTCAAAGAAAAAAAAAATTGGTAAAAAAAGTAATCAAGTCACGACCTTTTCTGGTGTCTAAGCTGGTTTAATCAATTTCTCCAAATCAATCATTTGTAAGGGTAGTTAGAAGAAGTAGCTTCAGCAAATATCATCCCACAGAAATCATTTGTAAATCACAGATATGACTAAATATCTTCATATACTTGTCTAGATAACAAATCTTCAATTGGCACATGGTCTAGCAGTCGCATGGTGTAAACCCCCACTGTACGCTTAAGAAAACATGGTTCAAACAGTGTGG